CCCTGGCTGGCAAGGGCTTCCTGGGGGTCAGCCTGGTAGCGTGGGGCTGCTCCAATCCAGCTCAATGTGCTGCAGAGGAGCTGGATGGGGCATGAGGGTGCTCCAGTGCAAGGCCAGCCAGCAGCAGCCCCTGCACTGAAGCACCCTTGTGTCCTTGCCAGCCACATCAGCATCTACCTGTGCAGTGCTGCAGAGTAAAAAACCTCCACAGCAGGTGGATTTGTATTTACATGTAGTAACCTGCTGTGGAGTTTATTAGTTTACTTCAGCCTAATAGCCCTGCACACATAGATGCAAAGACATTTACTGCAGGGCTAATTACTCAACTCCACAGTAAATGTCTCATGTAGACACACCCTAAGTCTCCAAGTTTGAGACTCAACACTTGAATCCCTCATAAAAACCATTAAATGTGCTTTCATCTCAGCTTTAAGTGCCTAGGTCACAAGAGAGACACATAGGATCAATGTACTTTCTGCCCAGTAGCCCAGTGGTATAGATCATTTTTAGCCTGAGTGGATTTAGAGACACAGTGGGCTGCCGTATACCTCCCTAGGTGAAACAGGATCACTCGCCTGAGACGAGACGTTTTTGGCTGGGTAGTTACGTAGATTTTGATAATTGGTAAATGGAACAGGATCTGGACTTTTAGAACTATTAGTGATTGAATACACTTGGCCATTCCTCTGGACCTTATCATCCATCTGAATTTGCTGGTTTGTATATACCATTGGTTTCCAAACACTCCTGCATCTTCCTCTTTAATAATCATTCTCTAGACCATTTTATGTTAAGAGGCAAAATATATTAACAAAATTAAGTACTTACCTTTAACTCTTCCTGATTTTTAACATTCATACTCAAGTTATTGAGTGCATTCAGTGCTTTTTCTTTAACTTTGGGGATGCTATCTGAGACCATTTTTCCAATAACAGAAAGGCCATCCAAGTTTCGAATTATATCCTAAAAGGCAAAGAGATAAATTAAATGAGATTACTGCTAATCCTCGAAAAGAAATCCTGAAATCTTCTCTAAAAAAAGGGAAAAAATGGGGAAAAAAATGCCATTTACTATAAACGGGTAAATTAAAGGGGAAAAAAGGGACTTCATGATTTGCTTCTATTTAAGCAAAAAATATTGGCATACTTTTCTACATAGTAGATTAAAATATTATTCCCTTTGAAATTTTGGTACCGATTTATAGTAACTGGTTAGATATAATCACCTTATTTTCAGATGTAATTTTTCAGTAGACAAAGTACACACTCACATTTTTCTGTAATATTTAGTACATAAGTCTTGCAAAATTGTCCAAATTAAGAAAGTTGTAAAACGGTAAAGAATCAGGGTTGAACAACTACTTTTAATTTAGCAAATTAAAATATGTAATTAATTGGACACATTTTGGCTTTACACATGCTACTTTCCATTAAAGCAACAATAGCTCTGTTTAGGCCAGAATACAGCCCCATATATGAAAAGAGTAAAACATCTCTACTTACAAGGTAAAAAAAATGCTAGCAAAATATTTGCTAAGCATTTCAGACAAAGGCAATAAATGTACACTTACTTTAAAGAACAATCTATTCAATGCTGCCAGGCCTTTGCAAATGCCTCAATTCAATAGTATGTTATGCTATGAAAGTTTAGAGAGTCAGGTTCAGTATTACTTATTTATTAGATTTATATGCCTCCTCACCCAAAAAAGGCTTAGGGTAGCTTCCAATAAAAAGGCAAAACATCTTATATAAAAGGATTAAATATTACAATGGGATAGTACACAGCAAAACAAACTCTCATAACTACAAGTGCTTCCCTCAGCAATAACTTCTCGATGGTATCTGGAAACTTGCCATTGCCACCCCTGGTTGCTATTATTATTATTATTATTATTATTATTATTAACAACAGGTCTAAAATTTAGCTTCCTTTTACCTGGGATATGAATGTTCAAAGTAAAAAAAAAATCTGTCTCTTTCTATGCTCCAGAAAGAGCCATCACATGTTTTAATAAGATTCAAAATAAAGTCTCAGATTCTTCACATCCCCATCGTCCTACTGAGATGCTGTCTACTGAGTGTAGCTCAGAGAATATTGTTACAACTATGAGAAGCATCTAAAGAAAAAAAAAGTATAGGAGTTTGCAGTTTAAGTTGTTACAGATTCCACAAAAAATATACATCTCCCAAAGAAATTTCTCAAATTCCCAACCAAATGGAATAGTAGATTCACTGGTAGGCACTGATTTGTGATTATACATGGTGCAAATATCAGAACATTATGAAGACAAATAGAGATTAGATTGTTAAAGCAAGTTTCAGGTCTAGTTCTGGAAACTACAGAAACTCAGCATCTCTCAGATTAAACCTATCAGATGATGTCATATAAAATTTAGCGGTAATACACGCATATGGCACTTTGAAAATGTGAAACTATACAACAGAATTGGATCACAATAGCCATATTAAGTACAGTAGGTTCTTGCTTATATCAACCCCATTTATGTGACCACTCAGATTACATGACCTCCCAGCTTAGTTACCATAAATGCAAAAGCAGCGACTTGTGCATCCACAGGGCTTTTTCTTGGTACAAGAATCCATAATATTGTAAAAACCCCCTCCTAGACTGCTATGTATGATTTTTTTAATATTCCTCTTTCTTTTTGCTTCTACTTTATATTACAGATGTCCCACATACACATAAAACACTGAAATGTATAAATGGGAGACAGTCCCACAGGGGTTAGAAAAGCAAGGCCCTACTGTGGGTAAATTATACTCACTGTATGGATGGAGAACTAAGGCAAGATTAAGCAACCTGCACATGGTCACAGCTTTTAAACCAAGATTAGCATGAAGCTCTAGTCCCATGCTTACACATTTACAAATGAGGGTTCTCATCTTCCACATGGGCTAGTTTTGAAATGCAATTGTTTCTTCAGAACAATACTTACTTGATTGTCAGAGAAGGCTGCACTGTTGCTCAAAGTCACCAATATTTGCTCTTGAATCAATGGATCATCTGTAGACTCTAGCAGTTGAATAAGTTTCTGTAGATGGTTTGCATCCAGGCTATCGGTTGATTTTGGAAGATCACCATCTGTTAATATTTGAAAGTTGAAAAAGTAATTATTTCAAACCTGGTTTGAGAGGTTTTACTGAGCCCCAGTACATGGTATCTTTTACAGCGCTGTTACAGCCAGGATTTATAGATAACATGTCAGCTGTAAGGTTTGCCGTACAATTCTGGGATTTATTTTATTCAGCCACGATACTGTGGTAAACCTTAGTAATGCCAGAGATAAGTCTGGATTCTATCTTGCCCTTAAAATATGATTTCAACTTCTTGCTATATGAAAAACAAAGCATGCTTGTCTCAAATTTTCAGCATATAGCTGGACATGGAAGATAGAAACCTATTTAGACATTACAGAAGAGGACTTATAATATTGGTATTCTTCCTGGAATTCTATACTAACACGGTGCATGAGGATTTTGCTCTTCCTGGGGCACATGAATTGCCCTGAAGGGCTTTGATAAAAGCAACAGCCATTGTGTGAAAGATTCTCTTTGTTGTGAAGTCACTTAGCCAGCCAAGTCACTTGGCCTGCTACCCTTGGATGACCAGAACTACTTCAGAGAGTACCTGGTCTCAAAAAAACCCTAACAAACAAAACCAAACCCCCTCCCAAAAACTCCCTATTCCACCCCCCTCCCCCACTACTTCAGGAGCTACTTTCACAAGGTTTTGTTAAACTAACCAGCTCCTGTAATTCCTTATATCTCTTCTTTCACAATTCACTATTTTTTTACCCAAACCCAAAGCTAGTATCTTGATATCCAACAGCTAACATGGGCATGGGAAAGGGGGAGAGGGAACCCCACTGCTTACTCCATCCATTTCCAGGCTCATTCCAAGTACCTACCCCCCTTTTATTTTTTAAACATAAATACAGAAGAGAACAGGGGCCGAGCAGGATCCAAGACAAGGCACCTTGAGCACGTGACAGGGTTAGAAAGGAATCTAGTCACTTGCAAAAAAAAGTATATTAAAGTCCATTGCCAAGGGTCCGAAAAAAACCAGTGGGTTACAGGGCAGATGTACGGCAGTATGTAGATGCCTCGAGGCAAACGGCACATCCGTCTCTTTGCTCGGAGACAGACAAATCGAAGCGACTCCGGATTCAGCCGCTGCGCAGTAGCCTGCGCTCCGGGATCATCCCGGCAGAGAAGAGGCGCGGAGCCTCCGTGCACCAAATGCCGCGGGCCCGGAA